TTGTGGTTTTTTTAGCCTCTACTCCCAACGTCGTTTTGGGCATTCAAACCACAGTTGGTGCCGAGCGCCCCCTACACGCCACACACGGAAACGCACGTAGCCGGTGTGCTCGCTTTCACGGTCCCCCTCTGACAGGCACCCACAGGCCCACTTGACAGGGGAGAACTAGACCCGCTCCGCTCCGCGAGTGACCAGCCCTGGGACCTGGAGCGGCGCGGAGCTGGACCCTGAAGTTTCTTCCCGTTCCGACACCACCTGGGCCTAGCTCAAGGTCACGAGTGCTCACACACGGCGGCTTAAAGTAGAAGGGGCGGCTCACTGCACCAGCGCCGAGGGCCCAGGGGACGACCACCAACTTGTCACAGAGGCCGGGGACCAAGCTTCTAAACCGCGGCCGACGGAGCTACGGGGTCCCGGAAGGTTCGGGCGCTTTTCCGGAAGACTTCTCCAGCAGCCAATCAACGTTGAGACCTTCCCCCTTCACCGGAAGGAGGTATCTCCCGGAGCAACCAACCAGACGGCTGTCTTGAGTTCGGTGGCGGGAAAGGCCATGAGTAAAAGCCGAGCCGAGGCCGCGGCCGGAGGTAACGCCGGCGCCCGCAGGTCCCGGGAGGGGAGCGGGCCCGGGGGCCAGAGGTGACCCAGTCTCCTACCTCGTCTCCCGCAGCCCCCGGGATCATCCTGAGGTACCTGCAGGAGCAAAACCGGCCCTACAGCGCCCAGGACGTGTTCGGAAACCTGCAGAAGGAACATGGACTGGGCAAGGCGGTGAGGCCCCTCCTTTGGGGGGTTCCCTCCCTGCTGAGCTCCCCTGTTAGGCTTGGGCCCCTCGTCCCTGTCACCTGCAGAAATTTACCCTGCCCGTGTTCGCTCTAATTGCTCCACCCCTTCTCCCCCCTCGGCCAGGCGGTGGTGAAGGCTCTGGATCAGCTGGCCCAGCAAGGCAAGATCAAGGAGAAGACGTACGGCAAGCAGAAAATTTATTTTGCAGACCAGGTGAGAACGCCCGCAGATTATCGCCCACCTGAAAACCTGAGTGAATCAGTTCCCAGCATTAACTAGTTAGGAGTGTTGCGTCATCTCACAAAATTAGCCTAACGTGTGCCATAAAAGGGCTCAGACATTCTTAAACCAGTTGTACGCTGTGATCACACATCATTAGTGTGCATTTGAGGTACGGGCGACAGAAAACCCTGGCTTGTTAGTAGCCTCGTTTTCACTTGGAAGGCCCTACTATCCTTTCGTCTACACCCAGCCTCTGCCAAACGACTACCCCAAACACATCAAATGTGTCTTCTCCCTCCCAGACTTCTCTGGATGCCTCTCAGATATTAAGTATCAGTATCAATAAGGCTAAAGTAGAATGCTTAATCACTGCCCCCCCCCCAATCTTTCTATCATTCTTTGGTAAGGGAACCACTTTCCCCCAATTCTTGGTTTCTTTTACCTCACCTGTCTGACATGTATGGTCATTTACCAATCATATTTGTTTCCCTTGACCTACCCCTTTTCTTGGAGGCCAAAGGGTCGAGACTGAGTCTCATGCAGCCCAGGCTGGCCTTAAACTTGCTCTTTTGTCTCAGCCTCCTGAGTGCAGTGTATTGCCAGGATGGCTCAAGGTTTTTCTTTATTGAGTCTACCCCGTTTTCACTGCTCCCACCAGACCCTCTGGTCTATTGTAGTATACTGACATCGCATCTTGGATAGTGTAGTCACAATGATCTATCTAGATGCTGATCAGATGGCTCAGTGGTGGGCGTCACTGTATTTTTAGACCTTCTGAAGCATTTGGTCTCACTGTTCAGCTCTGCCATTGTAAGACAAAGGCAGCCGCAGATGATGCAAATGAATATTTTACATGCAGGATTTGATTAGTGGCTCCTGCTTTACACAGTCCAAACTACTTGGTCTGGCATCCTCATCCTTTTTGTTTTGATCATTTCCAGCATCTCAGTGAGTCGGTGGTTATCTCTAGAGGCTCTTTCCTAGCAGTACCTCTTAAGGGTCCCTTCCCCTTCCTTACACTGAGCCTCTTCCACTTCAGAAGGAAAGTTGCTTCATTCCTTTAGATGAGTGGTTTTTATCACTAAATAGAAACATATTTTTCATTTTTTTTTCTTTTGAGATGTGTGTCTCTACATAGCCTTGACTGTCCTGGAACTCCTTATAGTCCAGGCTGGCCTTAAACTCAGATCCACCTTCTGTGTCTCCTGAATGCTGGGATTAAAGGCATGGGCCTACACTCCCATTTTCTGTCTTAGTTTTTGCCAACCTGAAAGCTCCTGAGGACAGGTGTTTCATTTTAACTCTTTGTGCCTCACATGAACTCACTTGTATTTCTCCTCTTGGCTGACAGGACCAGTTTGACATAGTGAGTGATGCTGACCTCCACAGCCTGGATGCCAACATTGTGGCCCTCACTGCCAAGGTGCAGAGCTTACAGCAAAGCTGCCGCCACATGGAGGCTGGTAAGACCGGGAATCCTTTCCAAGGTGCTATGGTTTGGAGGTCACAAATTGCTAGCAGAATGGTTCCTTATCTACACTGTGTTACTGCAACTAGGACCCTTTGCCAGGTGCCTAGGCTATTACATTGAAAGAAGTTCATGATTACCGATGGCTTTTGTGTACCAAATGGCAAGACAAGCCAGCTTTCCCTGCCCCTATATGAGCACACCGCATCTTATTTCCACTTCTTTCGTTACCTGTGTGTCAATCTGCTCAACTTTATACACCATTGTTGCTTTTAAATGGAGAAGAAAAATAGAAAGCTAATTTTGCTGTAAGCCTTTTTCTTGAGCTTTTCCAGAGTGTGGGTTTCTATTCTGGAGAGGTCCCGGAGCAAGAGAGAAGCTGACCTCCCACCTCTGGGGAGCACCTGCTGGGTGAGACAGAATCCCTTCCTCACAGGTACCTGGTAACTTGGGGGGTTGTGGTTTCAGAGCTGAAGGAATTAACAAGTGCGCTGACCACTCCTGAGATGCAGAAAGAGATCCAGGAGTTAAAGAAGGAATGTGCTCACTACATAGAGAGACTGAAGAACATCAAAGCAGCCACCAACCATGTCACTCCAGAAGAGAGAGAGCAGGTAAGCTGGGACGCTGCTGTGTGGGTCTGGAGTGAACATGAGGTACACAGGCGACCGTGCTTCTTCCTTACAGGTGTACAAAGAAAAGCAGAAGTATTGTAAAGAGTGGAGGAAGCGCAAGAGAATGGTGAGAGCTCCAGGGCTAGCTCTGGAAGTTTCTGTGCAAAATGATCCAATAGGCAGTGCCCTGTGCTGGTTCTGCCCATCTGAGGGGGCTTTTGTTTCTTGTCAGACCACAGACCTGTGTGATGCAATCCTTGAAGGATACCCCAAGAGCAAGAAACAGTTCTTTGTAAGTGACTCTTTCTCTTACTCCCCTGGGATCTTTGCCCAGAGGACTCCTTCATTTCTTCCCTTGCCCCACAGGAAGAAGTTGGCATAGAGACAGATGAAGATCACAATGTTAGGCTCCCAGACCCCTGAGGGGTCCTTGGAGACAGGGAGCAGAAGTCCTGGGCTGGCTACCTTGTTTAGGTGGCCTTCTTGTTCTCCACCTTTGAGGGTGGGGAGAGAAGTACACAGATGCTAATCAGATGGTCACGTTCATTTGTTTTCCATATTACAGAGGCCTCAACAAGTACTTATAACAATCCTAAAGGAAAGTATATGGAATATTTATTGTAATATAATTTGATATAAAAATACTTAATTTTCTCTGGCTTATCAAACCTGGGGAAGGGGACATGGGAGAGAAAGTACAGAAAGGCTGTCACACACCAACATTTGAGAGTCCCCAGACAACCTATTCTGTAGCTATCCCCAAGTCCTAGGAGAAATGTAGGCAACACTCTGGAGGCCGTCAGAATTTTGGAAAACTATGGGAAGAGCTGATAGAGGACATTTGTCTCCTCTAGCATCCACTGTAGGGTGTTGAACATGAGGGGACAGCAGGAACCTGGTGGTCCTACCCTGAGCTGACTAGAAAGCCCTGGCCTTATTCAGTATTGACCACATAGTCCTAGGCATACGGTGGCCTTTCACCCTTCATGGCCATGGGGCTATTTTTCCAAGTCAAAAACTGCCAAAATACCCAAACTTGAGCCAAGTGTTGCCCAAGAGACCAAGCAGAGGCGAACAATTTCCAAATTATATATATATAGTGAATAGAAACCCAATGGTTAGAGAAAGGGCTGGGGGCGCCTGTGAGGTTCTCTGAACAGATTCCTGTCCTAGAACTTTTCCTGGGAAGGCTGGGTGGGTCCACCATTGTGGGCAATTATAATAAATTAATGAAAAGCTTTCACAGAACACAGCCTCAGTGAAGCTGGGCAAACCAAACACCAAGTAGAAGCCAGCTGACCGGTGTGAGGTGCTGCGGTCCAGTCTCATAGGCCCAGCAGTTCCTTGGCCAAACAGACTAAAGGCCTCTGCAGCTCTCCAGGAGCCCTCAGTAGAGTTGGTTTTTCAATTGATGGAGGACGCCAATCACAATTTCTCGCAGAGTCTAGGAAAGATAATGGTCAGGTGAAAATGGCTGCCTAACCCAGGCATGCTCTAGAAGAGGGCATTTAAAGCAGTCACCTCAGGGCTGGACAGACATCTTGGTAGAACACTTACTTGACAAGGGGGCTGGTTAGATGGCTCAGCCAGTAAAGCCTCTTGCCATGCAAGCCCGCTGACCTGACCTGAGTTCCATCTCCGTGGAGCTCTCATGAAAGTGGAAAACGATCTGACTAAAAAGTTGTCCTCTGACCTCTTCATGTGTGCTATGGCACACACACTAAAGGTTGAGAGTACTTGCTGCTCTTGTAGAGGACCCAGGCCTTGTTCCCAACACCCAAATGGTGGCCCACAAAACCTGCAGCTCATCCAATGCTGAATTCTGGCATCAGGCACACATACATGATACAAACAAAACACCCAAGTGCGTAAAACATGTCTTTTTTTTTTAAGGGAAAAACCCTTGAGATGGAATGCTGCTTTTAACTGTCAGATATTCCTGAAACAAGTTGGAGACACAGATGAATATGTCGTTGGTACAACATGGGTATTCACTGCAGCAGTGTTTAAAGTCTCACAATGAAAATGTTAAGAAACAAAAGGGAGAAATCTGAGGAAAAACAGCACACTAGAAAGCCCTGGGTCTATAATGGGGTGGGCGTGAAGATGTCCTGTAATCTGTGTGTTTCATTTTTCTAGAAACTTCTAGTAACTGCTGCTGCCTTCCATACAGGACAGCTAAGGAGTGGCTAATAAGTCACCAATGACATGGGTCAAAGCTAGACAGGGCACTGAGTCCACACATCACAGTTGTCACGAGACCCTCACTGGGCCAGGCAGCAAAGAGAAAGAATACTAAACTTGTAGACCCCCCCCCAAGGGTCCCAAAGGGACTTACTTTACTTTTCTAAACGGCTTGGAGGTTGTAAGAGAATGTTAGGCCCCATGACCCCTGCTGTCACATACCTGTGGCTCACAGTGTTCCTCAATCCAGCTGAAGACACAAGCTGACAGCTCCTGGAAGCTGGCCACAGAGATAGAGGCATTGAAAGACTGGAATAGGGAGTCCATGATGCCTTGAAACACGTTGAACTTCACCTGGTCAGAGACCTGGTCCTCTCCTTCATGAGGGTTGTCCTGATGTGCCTTCACAATTTGCTCGTAGTTCCTGAAAGCATGGTGAGCAAGCAGGCTGAGGTGCCACAGCAGCTCCACCAACCTGAGCAGCTTGGTGGCATAACCCAGTGGCACCCAGAAGAGGGAGGCTTCCCAGAGACCTTTGGGGATGCATTCAACACCAGCTAAACACTACCAAGTCAGAAATTAACTCCCTGCAACCCACTCCTTGTTAACCTGACAGGTGTTTGCTGCTTGTATGTCTTATATGTAGAAGGTCGATGGGGACAGACAGTCCTGCCTTATAGTGACGACCTGGGGTCAGTATTACCTACATGCATTCTCGGATACAGCCTTTGAACAAGAGGAAAGAGTGCACTGGGGTTGACTTCAGTACCCCCTCAGGTCAGCACCCCTCTTACACTTTCATTATCTTCAGGGCTGTGACATCCTTGCGCAATGTGGATACTTCTTCCTCCTGTTTTTTCTTCTCCTTGTGTAAAAACTGGATGTAGTCGATGGCTAGAGAGGGGTTGGGAACAGAGGAAGTTTGAACCAGGAAGATGGTTCATTTTGTTTCCCCTTCCCCTATAAGCCAACTCTCCCATTACAGCCACCATGCCTGGGTCAAACCAGGTACTGGCCACTCCTGGTCACTATTGCCCTAGTCATACTTTTCTGTAGAACGATGGCTTTGCTGAGTTTTTGGGAGCCAATGGAGAAGTCCTGCTGCTGGCAGGTGGGAACGATGGTCTGAAGGTCATCATAGCCTCTCTGTGGAAACAACAGGGAAATGGGTTTCTTACCTCAGGAACAAGACAAGCTAGCACAAACTTCTGATACCAGTTCCATGCTCAGAAACTCAAAGCACAGAGAGTTGGCAGGAAGGGGTACATGCACAGTCTCCTCTTCCTGCAGACTCCTGGGGCTAAAGGGTCAGGGCAGGTGAATAAGAATCATGCAGAGTCCTCCCTTGCTGCCTGAGGTGCAGGCCCCTAGTCACCTTGATAGCATCCCTCCTCTTCTGTTCAGCTTGAGTGTGAGCACGCCGCCTCCGGTCTTTGTAGGACTCCTTGTAGGACTCTTGCTGATAATCACTGTCCTCATCATCTAAACTCAGAGATGGAGGCAGGGAAAGGTCACTTTAGGGTGCACTGAGTTTTTCCCTAGTTGAGGAACCTGGTGCCCAGAGAAGGCAAATGGAAAGAACCTAGTAACTTGGATGAGGTGAAAGATGGTGAGACTCAGTCTTGGACTGCTCCAGCCACCCCCATGCAGACAATGGAACTCCCTATTTAGGAAAGACACTAATATGATGGCATAGCTATGTTTGCCCATGGTGTGTGGGGGAGATTGTGTTGCTGCCTACCTGTGTTGGGGACGGAAGAGGCACTGGTGGAACCGATGCTATTAGCTCTGGACACTACACTCCCCTTGTGGCTGCTTTCTACAAAAAGCCCTGGAAAAAAGAGGCTTCGATCACTAAGGAGTGGGGAATATTGCCTGGCCCTCAGTCACCTATGGTCACAATGGCTTCAAATGCTGACCTCTCCCCATCAACTCCAAAGCTGGCTGCCACGGGTCACACATTTCATGCTGCAATGCTCCTGTCGCTAGTATCTACATTGCCCACAGAACTGTAATTTCTGGCTTACAAAGGGACAGCTGGATGCAATGGACATGACCAGCTGTCACTGTTTCCATTTCCCGTTCCAGAGCGGAGAAGCCAGGTGTAACCCATGGTTTTCCTGATTATCCTCCAGCTCCTCCCTAACTTCTCAGGCCAGGACCTTGGCGCAGTGGCGGTGGACTGTGCTCAGGTGTGGCTGGCAAGACCAAAGATCTGCAAAGCTGAAACGGGTCATTCCTGATGCGAAGAAGGGGGAGAAGTCACTCACCAGGGTCCAGGCTGTTGTCACTGTAGGCATACTCGACCTGCAGCATCAAGCAAAGGAGACGCCTGTTAGACCTATGCCCCGAGGAAAAGCCACCCGCAGTCCGCGGATGCTCGCACCATGGGTGTGGGGACCGCTGAATGGTTCTCCCAAAGCCAGGCCTGGCTAGGCCGCAGGGGCGCTGCCCCCTCTCTATAGTCCCTGCCGTCCCCGCCCCACCTCCACCTCCACCTCCCAGGCACGTCCCCCTTGTTCCCGCACACACGCCCCATTTGTCTCCCCACCTTGGCACACGCCGGGTGAGAGCTGTCTTCTCTGCAGCCCCGGGGCCCGGACAGCAGGGGAGACTCTGGGGATAGCTGGGGAGCCCCGCGTCTTCCGGACCCCCTACGTGCACGAGCCCGACCCGCCCTCCCCTCGCCGGCGTGCGCGTCCGCGGAGCTTGCCTTGACCCAAGGGTCCTCCGGAGAGGCGCCCGGCTCCGTCATCGTGGACCTACCGAACCGGAAACAAGCCTGCGGACTGGCCCCCAGCCTCCAGGAAGAGGCGAGGCTCTATCACGTGACCCAGCCCACCAATCCGCAAACGCGAGCATGGGCGGGGCGAAGGCGCTACGCTTGCGCGGCTCCAGATAGTAAGCGCTTGCTGGCGGTGCCTAAACCTGACCAATTCGCATTAATAAAGGCAGTGTTAGCCCCCGCTGCCCGCCTCCAAATGAGAATCTAGAATGTCGGCAATTTTCTGTTCAATGGAGCCCTCTGAAAAATATTGTGAGAAGGGCTAGAAGTGAACTAGTTCGGTGGTAGAAACCCGTGAGAGCCCCTGCACCGTTCGAACAGCTGATCAGCCTGGCAACCACTGGAGGGTCAAGAATTTCCCCTATGTCACATGATCTGATCCAATGAGGGTACAGCGCCACCCAACACCCGGCTGGTGTCTGAAGTGGCGCTTGTGCAGTTAAACCTTGTAAAGAGCCTTTGAAGCTAGGCTTATAGGCAGAACAGTAGGAAAGTCTAACATACTCAAAAGCACATCGCTAGCCACTGATAGGCTGGCTTCGGTCTGGCTAGCCTCAGAGGCTACACTTAACCACAGAGCTCCCTGGCTTCCAGCTCAGGCCTTGCCCCTGAACTCGGAGTCTAAAGATCTAAAGATACCTAGACTCACTGGAGCAGGAAGGAGAAACCACACAGGCAGCGCTTGTTAACATCTTTAATTCAGCTACTGGGTCCACTGATTACCACAACCCATCAACAGTAGACAGACATCACATCCACCACTAAAAAGAGGACAGAACCCTAGAGGGGACTGCTCCCCCATTAGCTATGTCCTCACTGCTGGCCAAATGCCAGCATGCTAGGCAGACTTCCGGGTTTCTCTCTGCGTCCTGTACAGCTTAGCTTGAGGCCCCTTAGGCCTGCCATAGGGTGAACATCAAAGCCCCCATTCCTCCTCACCGCGGGATTTGTTAGTTCCTGGGGCCAGTTTGGCACCACAGAAAATCCATTTTCAGCTCTTGGTCTGATGAGTCTTAGGGAGGCGGTTTTGTAGAAGACTCCAGGCTTTTTCCACCTTTGGCCAGTCCAGAATGGCAGAAGAAAAAGAGGGTCAGCGAGACAACCACTGGGCCTTCCCTCCCCACAGCCTGCCCTTTGCACCAACCTGCTGCTGTGTGACTTGCGGCTCCCACAAGGTGCTGAGAACCACATGGCTATGCTCCACCAGCTGCTGCCCACTCATCTGGCTCTGCAGCCGGCTCTGAGCAGCTGCTTCGCTCAATCCATCCCTCTCTACAATCCGACGTACAGCCTGGGCACACATGACACAGTCATTAGGAGGGGTCCCAGCTCAGTCTACAGGATCAGAGCAGGAAACTCTGCAGTGGGCTCAGAAGTGGTGGAGTGGGGTCCAGATACCTCAGTCTCAGGGATGACAATGGTCCACACCTCATGTACCATATTCTGCCAGCCGGCTTCCAGCAGCATAGCGGCATCAATCACACACACAGTCTTTCCTGTGGGGAAACCCTAGTCATTGCCAGAAGCACCGGGACACTCGCTACCTGTCAGCATAACACAGTCCTAGGTAGCGAATGGTCCGCCTGGGGCCAAGGGAGATCCCAAAGGAGCTGCCGCTTCACTGCCCACTCTGGCTGTTCCCATCACCTCCCACTCACCCTTAGTCACAGCCAAGTCCATTTCCTCCCGAGCCAGCTTTCCAATAACTGGCCACATGATATCTGTGAGGGTCTTCAGCTGCTTCTGGGGAGGGGAACGGAGAATGCAGAGGTTAGCATCCCTGAGAAATACAGCAGCTTGGGAGGTGGTGGCTGGGAGCAGGTGAGTAGAAACAGACTTTCTGTGCCAGACTAGGAAGTCCGCTGCATCTGCCCATGGATCTGGCAGCAGCTGAAGAACTCTTGACGAGTGTGTGTGTGTGTGTGTGTGTGTGTGTGTGTTTACCTTGTTGCCAAACACCCGGCTGCCCACGACCTTCCTATTGATGGTGCCATCTTTATGGAGAATATCTGGATGACAGAGAAAGAAGGCTATGAAAAGAGGCCAGGCCATTTTCTCACCTCGGTCAACCTCCACCCCACCTCAGTTAGTACCTGTTCCAAAGGCCTCCACCACAGGCTGGTAGGCAGGGCCCCCGGGAGCATAGGCCCGATGGCCCAGAAGGTCACTGTCAATGATGTACGCCCCCAGGTTCTTCAGCCGCTGAGCTACTGAGCTTTTCCCAGAGCCGCTGATGCCCGTCAGCCCAAGCACATAGAGCCCCGATGGGAGCTCCGGCCTCAGCTGGGGACAGTTAAATGGAAACCTCAGTTCCTGAAGAGTTTGGGCTCGTTTCCAGTGGAGGGCCTGTTTCTCTCCTCTAGCATTTCCAACATGGGCAGTGGGTGAGGAGGAAGTAGGGAAGGGAGGCTTACATTTGGAGGCTGAAGCAGGTTTCCCAGAATCCGCTGACGTAAGCTGGAGGAGCTGACCTTGTCCTCTTCATTTTCACCGTGATTCTGGTCCTTCATCAGTTGTATCTGGTATAAGGCAAGTTCCTCCTTTCCCTGAGGTACAGGGAGAGGAGAAAGGACGATGAATCTGGGGCCCCAATCTGCCCTCTACTTACCTACCCCTCTCCTCCTCCAACTCCACAGGCAAGTTCCTTTTGGCTTCCTCCACCCTAAACCCTCCATTTCCCGCACTGGGGCCACAGTACTTCCATAGGCCTCCCCCTCCCATTCCCTCTGCCAGTCTCCTTCAGGGGTTACATTCTCAAGGCGGAAGCGGTTGACGGCCATCCCCCCACGGTAGGTCTCCTCGCTGACCACCAGGAACTCCAAGGTGGGGTCAGACCCAGCAGGCCCATAGGGGTCCAGCAGGGAGACGATTTCAAAAGTCAGGGAGGGCTTGATGTCCACCAGGAACTCACTCAGATGGTCCACACGCTCTCCGTAAGGCTGGAGCAGCTCAGGGAGCAGCTTGCCTGGAGAAGGAGCCAAGAACAACAATGAGCTCTTTCCACTAGAGTAGATGTGCAGGCCCATTTGGAAAAGAATGTCCCTAGGTGCTGAATCTCCCCAAGCAGTGGCAGCAAGAAAGGGTGAAACTGGAACCACTGGGGGGTGGGGGACAAAGGGGAGGAAACAAAAAAGCAGCACAGACACTACGAAGGCTGGCATGTATCCAGAAAACAAGCCACCAAGAAATATCTATAGATCAGTACCAGCCAATAAGTATCAGCTAGGTGGATAATTCCAACAACTACCCCATTCTTGGAGTCCCCTCACTGTCCATGGCAGTACTGGGTCACCTAAACTGATCTTCCATCCATTTATTCTTAGTGTTTCAAACTCAGAGTTGATCACTTGGAAAACCATAAAGTGCAAATTCCTTGGTTCTCATGGGGGTGGGGGCAGTTCTGACTTCAGTAAAGATGACTGAACCACACCCTAAGGATACCACGTGTAGTCATCTAACTGAAGTCCCACAGCAATAACAGGCATTGTGGCATTTTGGAGGGGTGAGAAGTGGTCCCTATCCTTCCTTGATCTTGGCATTGGGGGAGTCAAAGAAACTTAATGGGTGTACTCCATTGTCCTAATCCAGGGTCCCTCTCACTCACTCTTCAACAGATCTTTGTCTGCTACTCCCACCACAAGCTGCTCCTGGGCCAGTACACATGCAACACTGAGCAACACTTTATGGGCATTGTGCAAGCGGTCAAAAGTGCCACCCACGGCCCCACGGCGGTAGCCACGCACAGGCTGCTTTGGAGATCTGGCAACCGGTGAAGCTGGCCTTATGGTGGAGGGTAAGAGGGCACTCGGGGACTCCACAGGCAGCTCTCCAGTTCCATAATCCGGATACAGCAAGACACTAGACAACTGTGAACAACAGCTGTAACAACTGGTGGCATAGCGCTCTAGGTGTTGTTTAACAGGGTTGTACTGGCTCCCATCCAGGGTCTGGAAGTCCGTCATAACTACTTCTGGAGGATGGGCCAAATTCTGGACTGAGGGCAGTACAGGAAAAAAAGTGCTCTTGGTTTGGATGTTGGTCAGTAAAATTCTGACGTCCAGTTGTCTGTGCAGGTCGGCACCGCTGTAGAAGTGTGTGATGAAATCCAGAACTTCAAAGGTGGCCTGCACAGGGCTGGCCTGGGGCTGAGCGGCCCCCCCCAAGTCCATGCCCGGTTGCAGGTGCACATAGAGGGTGTGATTGACCAGACGGGCCGCCGATGTCAGGATGGGGGGCAGGCGTGGGGCCAGGGTGGCCAGCGGCGTTGTCAGCACCAGGAGGCCAGAGCGGAATACGGCCATGCTGCCCGGGCCTGCAGACAGAGAGACGAAGCGACAGTGACTAGGCGGGCTGGGGCCGAGCCTGCAGGGGAACGGACGCAGGAGGAGGGACCTGGAGCAGGGCAGGGGGCCGTTCGCTGATGGAGACCGGAATCCTGGCAGGGGGAACCGGCCGGGAACCCTGAGTCATGGGGGCTGGGGCTGCAGGGATCCTAGCCCTTCTGGTTAAACTGAACCGGCATCTGCGAAGACTCGAAGGCGGGGACTAGAGGGGACGCTCAGGCTCGAGTCGCTTCCCTACTCACTCAGTTCTTGGATTCTGTTTCTACTTACACCGCCGCGGAGGCGTCCTAGGCTGCGGCCCGGAAGCACTACCCTCGGACCGCACGGCACGGAGCTACGGGAACTCGGAGCAGTCAAACCGTGCAACGCCGAGATTATGGC